AGTCTCCTTCAGAGTTCTCTCTATAACCTAGAAAGGTCATTGTGTCTTTCTTGCTGCCTTTGAAACTATAGAAACTGTCCATTGCAATGATAAAGGCCTGTGAATAATTTTCTTTAAGATGTTTGACACACAAAACGGCACAGGGTATCCATGATGGAGACTATTAAATTATTAATCAAAACTAAAGTACAAACATCACTAGTCTGATAGTAATTAAACTCAAAATTACTTACTCATTTTCCCATAAGATTCATTAGATCTTGTGAAGTTAATGCAAGAACTGCTGTTTCCAAGCTCATTCATAGCAAACACACACACTTGGTAAACTGTATTCAAATCTAGTTCTTCCATATTATATTTTGAACAGACATACTTCTTGTTTGTTATGTGAGGGACATTTTTACACAATCGCTGTAGATTTTGACCATAGTCATAACAATTGAGATTTACGGCTGTAGAATTTGCAGATAATTTGGGACACTGTGCTGTCACAGTGTAGTACACAGGGAGTCCACCAGTTTGTAGGGATGCAACCCAACGCACTGAATCATTCCATTCATAGGAGTAGCTGTGAACTGACCTTGGTTGACTGGGCAAATCTTTTTATGAAAGAACATTATAATTTTGAGTACATGGTCCTTGCATGTGATGTCAAAGCAGTCAATTCAGATTAGCAGTAAGAATAATTTATATATCTACTCCAAGCCCTAGCTCTAGTGCACGCTCTAGTGTATAGTAATTTATGTGAATACTAAAGTTGTAAATGTACATTATTTTGAAAAATTAAAAAAATAATTAAAAAAAAAAAAATCTACTCCAAGCCATCTAATATTTGTGACTCAATTTGTTAACTTTTTAGTATTCAATATTTTATTTGTTCACTATCATTTAAAAGGCCATTGTCCACTAGCATTTATGTTTAAAAATACAAATTGACAAAACTATATTAAATTACTTACTTCCAACAATAACAGAAACATTATACCCATGTTTCCATGACGATCCACACCAGTAGGTCCCTTGGCTTTTGGTGCTGACATTGTTTATTTGWAGTATTAATGTACTGTTTACAAGATGTGTGTTTCCATGGAGACTACTGCTGTCAAACCACCATGTGGCATTGTGGGTATAGTTACATCTTAATTCCAAATCAGTCCCTATCAAAACAGCTATAAAAAATAATAGTTGATTAATGA